TATTTGCAAATCCAGGATCTATTCTGAGTTTTACAACCTGGCAAGATACTAGTTTGAAAATGAGTCTTAGACAGGTTAACTGACTTGCTCAAAGTCACAAAGCAAGTTAGTGTCAAAGCCCAAATCTCTGTAGAGATGCCCAGTAGTTCTTCCACTAAATCATTATCTTCCTGACCAACCTGTCTTTCTAGATGCTCTGCTACTATTTCTTGCTTTAGAAACACACACTTTACATACCAGAGTGAAGACTTACTGCAACAGGACTGTGGCCAGAACTGAACTTACCTCACTAGGCTCACCTTGCAACAGTAAGAAATCAATCTCACCCAAAGGCATTCCATCCCCATTGAACCTGAATAGAAGATATTCAAGTCTCAGGTGGCACAGAAAATCCAGAGTTTAAGCACCAAGTCTCTACACACCAGATAGGCTATGTTTTGGAGAAGACTACGAAAAGAAAAAGTTTTCCTGGTATTTCAGTTGTATTGGGACGAATTATTGAATTAGGTGGGACATAAAACCGTAGCCTTTTCACCTTCACAGTTGACAGCCAGGAATAATCTGGCCATTTGTCCCTGGAAATCCATTTCAGTTGTATTGGGACGAATTATTGAATTAGGTGGGACATAAAACGGTAGCCTTTTCACCTTCACAGTTGACAGCCAGGAATAATCTGGCCATTTGTCCCTGGAAATCTGCTTCCAAAGAGGAAAGCAAATGACTTTAAAAAATGCAAGAACGGAACTAGAGGTGGCATTGTATTAGCCTCCTTTTCCCCCCGAAAAGTTCAATACTTAGATGTCACCCCTCCATTTCTACTTCAGATTGCTACTTTCTATGCTATCAGGGTGTGTGTGTGTTTAAGTATTTCTATATTTGGTAATCTGGATATGTAACCCCCTTTTCTCACATATGCCCTAACGAAAGACAGCACCTGACACCCTCTCAAAATGAAACCCATGTGAAGACCTTTCCTCTGATTAGAAATAAGATTTACCCACATACTGCTATCAAATTTTCTATCACTGTAATCCCAAATGATAAACAAAGCAGACAGAAACCTGCTGGCAGGTTATTTATAAGACAAGGTACAGGTAGGACAAATGCAAAGTATTTAAAGGAAACAGATCTATAGGGAAAACAGTAGCTTATTTGGTGCTTTTCTAGTGTGCTGGGTTAATGGTAAACATGCAAAGAAAAAGGCCTAAAACTTGGCCAGGTCTCTTTAAGACTGGGAATAAAATGTTCCCTATTGAACTTTTTTTTTTTTTGACAGCTGGCTGGTACAGGGATCTGAACCCTTGACATTCGTATTATCAGCACTACTTCTACCAAGTAAGGTAACTGGCCAGCCCACTGCTGGCCTTTTAAGAGCTCCCTGAAACTTCAGCACCTCAGACTCCGCACTGTCCAGAAGCTCTTCTGTAACTGACTTTTATTGCTTTAATTAACCTAGGCTAGGTAGGACACATTTATTCCTTCTCTGTAATGTTACTGTTGCCCGCTAGCAGCAGCTCTTTACCTCTTACATTTGATTCCTGTTGTCCACAATTAGCACCTTATTATATGCTGCCCTCTCTTCTAATTACCACATGTCTCAATTGAGCACTTTATTTTATTATCTTGTTCATGCACTAGTTCAAGGTCCTAGGCTACCCAACTATAATAAATCCTAAACTCATTTTAGGTAGGTGCTGTGTTTGGGGTTTCTTATCTCTTTAGACCCTTGAGAACACTAGGGACTCACAGGCACACAAACACTGACTGTTTGGAAATCTTCTAGATGTCTATTCTGGGACGACAGCACATGATTGGAATCTGGGTCTCCATGCATGCCTAATCAACCACGCGTGCCAGGTCCATAGGTCTTCTTTGCTTTTGAGGGATCCCTCCTTAGCTACTTGGAGTTAAGCTCTACTCTACCTGTATATAACATTTTCCCTTATCTAAAAGGGTGAGCTGAAACACAGATGGGAACTTCCCATCAGCACTACATTCCATGTTCCTCTAAAAAAGGGATTCAAGGGATGTAAGTTTATGCTTGAACAGACTCCTTGCTTTTGGAATTAAAACTAACTATAGTTTATAGGGCAGTTACCAATTCCTTAACATGGGCCTCCTTCACCAAATGCTCTGGTGAATGAAATGGAGCCTATGGGGAGACTGTATAACAAGACAATTAGGAGTGCAAGCATAAGAGCTAGGATGCCTAGTCTCAAATCCTGCATCTGTCACTTACTAGTTATGTGACCTGTGACCAAGGTCAAAGCACTTAACCTCTCTGTGGTTCAATTTCCCAATCTGTAAAATAGGGACAATAATACCTGTCTCAAAGGGCTCTTGGGAAGACTGAATCAGTTAATCTTTATAAAGTGCTTAGAACAATGCTTGGCACATAATAAACACTATGTAACTTAGTCTTAAAGAAAATTAATACAGGCTTTTAGAATAGACAGACCTTACAAAATAGCATGCTTCCAAAAGAATCTGACAGTGATGGAAAAACAAGCTAGTTTAATACAATAATGTACCATCCTTGGTTTCTTAATTTTTCTGGCTTTGATATGTTCTTTTAATTGCTTCAATAAACTAAAAAAGAACTCTGAATTTATGGATTTTAAAGACATCAAATGCACTATCACAACAAAAGTGATAAAAATGTTCTGGCAGCATTTAATTAGAATGACTAGTGAAGGTGTCATTGTTTTAGTAGAGAATTTGCTTTTATTGTTATTTTTTGGTGGCTGGCCAGTATGGGGATTTGAATCCATGACCTTGTTATTATCAGCACCACACTCCCCCAAGTGAGCTAACTGGCCCGCCCTAGTAGAGAATTTAAAACAAACTTTCTACTGTTTACACCTTTCATACTTATTTAGCTTAGTGTATCAGTCATCATTCACAGCATTATTTAATAAATAACTGCTGACCCTTCTCCAGTGAGGAACATTTTGTCAATTGTCAGGGGAACAGTTCATATGTTCTATATTTTTAAAGACATTGAAAGATCTTTAAATAAAGATGACTCCGTGGTATCCAAATTCAGACTTTTCTTCCTGTGTCTTTTCTGACCTGTCAGTTTGCTAACACATTTTAAATTCTCAGTTCCTTTAGATATCCTGGCTACTAAATTGCACTTCTGGGATCTCTCTTTTCTGAGCAATCTCTAGTACAAAATACCATTTCTAACATCAGCAATCCCTTGTAAATCATCACACAGAGTTCCTACTTGTAGAATCCAGCCGCTCAAACGTACACAAAGGTGTCTATGTCACAACAGACGCGGCACCTGTGCCCTCATTTAGGAGGAAACACTTCAGGCTTCACCTCTCCCAGTTTCCCTGGAGGGCAAAGCCCAACCCTGAATGATGTCTTCCTTTTATGTGCACCTGTAGAGAACTATGTAGAGACATAAGAAACAACTAATGTCCAGTCTACTAAGAAGTGATCATCTATTTTGGGGCTCTGCACTTTAGTGCTTAAGAATGTGGGCAAGCACTTCCTCTCTGTATCCTTCTCAGACTCACCTTCCAATCCTACTGTACCCTTGATGCCCCCATCATAGCTCTAACCACCACGTTCTGTGGTTATGTTGGCCCTGGAGGCTTCACCTCTGCCTGAGGAGCTTCTCTGGGCAGAATTTGTGTTTCACTTGTCTTAGTGTTCCAAAGCTAGCACAAAGCCCATCCATAGTAGGCTCCCAATAATTATCTGTGAAATTTGTAGCCAATTATCTGTATTTGAAGCCATTATCTGAGAAACACCAACCATTTCTCTGATGATCAAGCAGTCAAGGGTTACTTTCACTTTTGAGAACGGGGAGGTTCACCAAAAATGGGATATCGGGAAAGGCATCAGATGCCCTCCTTGCTTCAACCAGTTTGGGTTAACTTTCCCTCATTTATCTGCTAGGTTCCTTTAAAGCTTGTACCATACCCTGTCTGCCCCGCCTTAATAATGGGCTCCTTCGATGACCCCAGCTTCACCTTGCAGGTATCCTCTCTGGATATCCAAGTACCATACTTTTAGTCGGCCACCGCGCGGGGCTGGCTCTTTTTCGGAAAACTGTCCATAGCTCCCAGCAATCACTCCATCAAGTCGGGGCTTTCAGTCTCCGCTGGGAAGAGCTGGGGATGCCCAGGTAGTGCGCACCTCGCTAGTACAAAATGTTGCAGCGACCACCCGACACAAGGAGACCCTGCAAGGTGCTGGGTCAGCGTTCGGTCAGGGGGAGGGGGAGGGGGAGG